AAAAGCTTGCCAGCCCCTGTTTTAGAATATATCCCTCTTGGTGGCCCGGCGGAGCGGGCACCGGTTGATACCTGTGGAGAATCTCCTAAATTGTACCCTGAAAAGGCAGAATGGAGATGTCAATGCCCCCACCTCAGATATATGTAGAAAAAACTCTGGCTATTATCAAACCAGAATTGCTGACAAAGAGGAGGAAATACAAGATATTATTCTCAGATCTGGATTCACCATTGTTCAGAGAAGAAAACTCCATCTCAGCCCTGAGCACTGTAGTAATTTTTTGTGGAACAGTATGGGAAAATGTTTTTCCCCAATTTAACAGCTTACATGAGTTCTGGACCACTTGTTGCCATGGTATTAGCTAGACATAAAGCCATCTCTTACTGGAAAGAACTTTTGGGACCAAGTAATACCTTAGTAGCTAAAGAGACTCACCCAGACAGTTTAAGGGCAATTTATGGCACAGATGACCTGAGGAATGCACTTCATGGGAGCAATGATTTTGCTGCAGCAGAAAGAGAAATTCGATTCATGTTTCCTGAAGTGATTATTGAACCCATTCCAGTTGGACAAGCTGCTAAGGATTATTTAAATTTATATGTAACACCAACTCTGCTTGAAGGACTCACAGCACTTTGTAAGGAGAAACCAGCAGATCCTTTAATTTGGTTAGCTGATTGGCTCCTGAAAAATAATCCCAACAAGCCAAAGCTGTGTCACAATACAGCTGCAGAAGAACCTTAAAATTCCTCAAAGAACAAATCACTATCTTACTGTGAAAGACATGCTTCTACTTTAAAACAAACAAACTGTCCTAAGGCTTTAAGTAACTACGTGTGAAATAAATTGTTTAAAAAAAAAAAAAAAGAATATATCCCTCTTAGTTATAAAATTAGAATATTTAAAAACTACTTGAAGTAATTCCATTCCCGTGCCATCAATAATTTCTCTAATTGACTGTAACATATTAAATAAATTAAAATCTGGGCTCCTGGGTGGCTCAGTTGGTTTTGGTTGGGTGGCCGACTCTTGGTTTTGGTTCAGGTCATGATCTTGGGTGGGCTCCCGGCTCCAGGGGGAGTCTGCTTGAGGATTCTCTCTCCACTCCCTCTGCTCCTCCCCCTGTTCACTCTCTCTGTCGTTCTCTCAAATGAACAAATAGATCTAAAAAATCCTTGTAAATAAAAATCCATAAATGAGAAAAAATGGCATGAAAAAGGAAAGCTCTTTATAGAATGTCAGCTATTAAGTTTGATTTTACATGATTATGAACTCAGTTTCAAATATATTTATGATATTTGGTTTTGAAGAGGTATTTTTACAGTATGGTGTTTTCCTTTAAGTTTATGTCCATTTCTATTATATCCTCTCATGCCAGCTATCACCTGCATTTAAATAAAACAGCAACATCATTAGAATGGATACATCTTGGCATGAAAGCTAGCTATTGGTGAGGTAATAGAACACAATTTATCAGGCAACACTGAATTTTCTTTGAAGTCAGCCTCTTTCTGATTTCTTCCAATGCTTCATGTTTGCCTTCCCTGCTAGTGACCAACTCTTTTGCTTCTTTACACAGCCTTGACACTCAGTGCCACTTGCATTGGTAGAAACAAGGTGCCCAGGGAATAGCCTTTCCAAAGCCGAGCAAAAGTTGGGTGAATGAATTATAATTACAGAAGCAGTGTTGGTAGCTTGTGTGCACCCTCAAATGCATTACTACTGGGGTGCTGGCTTAAGCCTGTATGGTTGCTGGGTACCTGTCCAGGGAGGGAGGGTGCTGCTGCATTGCTCACTCCTTAGGTGTAGATTGCCTGGACCAAAACTCATACTTGCTTACCAAAGGGTTCTACACCCAATTCCAATGTGTTTGTCAGAGAGGGGAGGTTCCCCACACCACCAAGCAATTCTTGGGAACCATCTGGGGATCCTACAATTCAACTCAGTTCTGACACTGTCTACATGGAGACAGCATCAGAACTCACAGTTTAAAAGCTCTGTCCTACAAGAATCCCCCAACTACTTCAGACGCCAGTCACAAGTCCCAAGTTATCACCTGTTCTTGTGACCAACTGCTATATATTTGAGGTTCCAGTGACTTCCTCCTTGGGTTCAATGAATTTGCTAGAGTGGCTCGCAGAAATCACAGAAACATTTTACTTACTTGAGTACCAATTTATTATAAAAAGCTATAACTCAGGAACAGACAGATGGAAGGGAAGCATAGGGCTTCTAAAGCATAGACCCTAATCCTTAGGTGTTCCAAAAGTCACCTTATTAACCCATCAAAAGACACCTTGATTGTCCTCATCACAGGAAATTCCAATTGTTTTAGGAGCTTTGTGCCAAAAACAAGAGGAAGACCAATTATATATTTCTTATTATAAATCACAATATCACACTTACATCATTGCTGTCATGAGCAGGTGGGCTTCTGAATGTACAGAGCTTCTCAGTAGTGGCAGGCCAAGGCGTTCTCTTAATGACTTCAAAGCCTATGAGAAATTGCAAATGTATTTGTATCTTTACAACGATGTATTCATATATTATTTAATACAGTGACAGAAAGCAATAAAAAATAGTTAAACATAGCAATGGAAAAAGGGTATGAACAGGCAGTGAATCAAAGAAAAAATAGATTGTTAATAAGCATGCAAATTTAATCAAGTTAGTGAGAAGAATGATCTCGAAAGAAGTGTGATTTTAAATGAATTCTTTTGGGGCACCTGGGTGGCTCAGTTGGATAAGCTTCCAGCTCTTGATTTCAGCTCAGGTCATGATCTCAGGGTTGTGAGATTGAGCCTGGCATTGGGTTCCATGCCTGCTTGGGATTCTCTCTCTTCCTCTCCCACTGCCTCTCTGCCCCTGCCCCCCACCCCCAACTTGTGCTCTTGCTCGGGCTCTCTTTCTCAAAAAAACATGAATAAAATAAAATGAATTCTTTTAAATTAGGCAGAAAATTTTAAAAGATAAATATCAGGATAGGCATGGAAGTAGAAAACAAGTTATGCTCATGCAGGCAGTTTAGTTAACATATATCAAAGACCACAGATTCAACTTTTAGAAGTTATTTTAAGGAAATAGTGAAGTAAATGCCCACAAATATGTGCGAATGCTTGTTCACTATGGGATGGTAATAATCTTGGAAGTAGTACATTAATAGGGCAGTAGTTAAATTTGGGGGTTTCATGTGTATGCTATTAATCTAGACAAAATATACTATTATAGACTGGTTAAATATGAGTGATATATAAGTACATATTATTATTTCCAGATTTAGAATGTGCAAACTGCCTGGATCAGCATGACCTTTAGTATTGTTCTCAAGGAAAAATGTACTTCCTAGACATCCACAATAAAAGACAAAAATAATCTATTTGATATGCTCTACAGAATCTATTCAAGTAATCACTGTGACTACAACATGAAAAAGAAAGTGAAATAGGTATAAATACTGTGAGACACCATATTGGTCTCCCTGCTCAGCAGGAAGCCTGCTTCTCTCGCTCCCTCTACCCCTCCCCCCTGCTCATGTCTCTCTCTCTCTCTAATAAATAAATAAAATCTTAAAAGAAATACTGTTCGACAGATACTACTTTATCCACAGATTATAAAGATCAAAAGAATCTATCATTTGATAATCAATACCCTAATAAGAGATATTAAATGCTCAGCTATTACTAGCATATTTTAAGTATTGTGAAGTATTATATCATAAAGATATTAGAGGAAAAGGAGATGAAAAGTTGTCAAAGACATTTTGAGACATACGTGTATTAATATTCACTCAAGGTCAATTCAATGTGAACTCATTTTGAAATACTCAGTATTTAAGTTGAATAAAATTCAAAATATAATCTCAATTAGTTTCTTATTGGAAATGGATAAAATAAAAAATTCTAATAAAGAATCATTTGTCTTTATTTCCAAATAAAACCAACATATTAATAATATATATAACTCTATTTCCAAGTAATAAGTTACTAAAAAGTGTAAGTTAAAGATCACTGTAAAAGCACAGAAATAGATCTGAGGCTATGAGCATTTAATATATGATAAAAGTATTTTAATCTAGTAGAAGAAAGAGGGATAGTTCAGTAGTTGGTTGTGGCATAATTGGGCTTATTTCTGAATGGAAACAGAGCTGACATCCTGTATCACACCATATACAATAATGAATTCCAGATGGATTAAAATGTTAAAATCTCTGTGTGTGTATATACACCCACATATATGAAAAATTACACACTCTATTCCTTTATCCTCTTCCCTCCAAAAGTTTCTATAAGCAATACCTTCCTAAGAAACAGAAAACATTGGAAATGGTTTGGGAAACCTATTTTATAGAAATGAAATAGAGAAGAATATAAAGTAGGAATGTTTATTGAAGCACTACTTTTAAGTGGCAAAGAGGAAACAGTCTGAAATATCGAAGTTGGGGAATAGTTGAATAGGTATTGGTATAAGCATACTTGGGTATGCAATATAATGTAACCATTCTAAAAACTAAGTTAAGGGGCACGTGGGTGGCTCAGTTGGTTAAGTGTCTGCCTGTGGCTCAGGTCATGATCCCAGGATCCTGGGATCAAGCCCAGTATCCGGCTCCCTGCTCAGTGGAGCGGGGAGCCTGCTTCTCCCTCTCCCTCTGCCCTCCCCCCACTTGTGTTCTCTCTCCCACACTCTGCTCTCTCTTTTTTTTTTTTTTTTAAGATTTCTGGAGTTCCAGCTTTTTTTTTTTTTAGATTTTATTTATTTATTTGAGAGAGAGAGAATGAGAGACAGAGAGCATGAGAGGGAGGAGGGTCAGAGGGAGAAGCAAACTCCCCGCTGAGCAGGGAGCCCGATGCGGGACTCGATCCTGGGACTCCAGGATCATGACCTGAGCCGAAGGCAGTCGCCCAACCAACTGAGCCACCCAGGCGTCCCTGCTCTCTCTCTCAAATAAATAAATAATCCCCAAAAAATAAAAATAAGAACTAAGTTAAATCATCATTTACTGACCAGGAAAATTCAAAATGTAGTTGAATTTAAAAAGCAAATTACAGAGAAATGTATAAGGTATCATCCATTTTTTGGGTAAAAATATACTAAAATAAATTAGTTGTGTTAATGTTTAAGTATAAAGAAATATATGGGGGATATACACAAGGTTCAAAAATTACTCAGAAGGAAATGGACAGAGGGGAAGGGAGTGAGAAATAATGGAGGACAGATTTTTTTGTTTATTGGTATTGCTTCATTGGTTTGGGTGCAAATGCATTATCTCTGTAATTTTTTTTTTTAAAGATTTTATTTATTTGACAGAGAGAGACACAGCGAGAGAGGGAACACAAGCAGGGGAAGTGGGAGAGGGAGAAGCAGGCTTCCCGCTGAGCAGGGAGCCCGATGCGGGGCTCGATCCCGGGACCCCGGGATCATGACCTGAGCCGAAGGTAGACGCTTAACGGCTGAGCCACCCAGGCGCCCCCACACTCCACTTTTCTTAAATTGGTTATAAAATATTTTACGAGCATACGCCTGTAACAAAATAACTCAATGTTTTTAAAAAATCAAAACCCTCTAATATGGGATCTAAGAAAAAAGGAAGTGGGGAATGGAAGGATAGACCTGTAACTTTGGATATTATATGGGATTTTCCTTCCAAGAATGGTATCTATCCAATGCAGGAAGTTGCTGCTAAGCATGAAAATTGAGGCATAGAAAAGATCTATTTCAAAACACTAACCTAACCTAAACAAAGTTAAGATGTGGGACATTTTCTTAACTTCAGATTTCTTAATCTAGGACTTTTGGTAGGCTTCCACACTCTAATGATAGAGTTAAGTAGTTCCAGCAGAAATAGTATGGCTCACAGGGCTAAAATATTTACTATCTGGCCATTTATGGAAAGGCTGCTAACCTTTCATCTAGAACACAATACATAATTCCAGTGACATTTTTGTTGCTAGTACAAAACTGTGATGGTCAGGCTAGTTTTCCTCTTCACAGGTTAACTATTTTTCAAGATGTGTGTGTGTATATATATATATAAAATATCTCAACAATGGGATATGCAACATATAAAATATATCCAATTTTTAAACTTGATATGATGCTTAGAATAAAGAACTACATGTAGGAAATATTGGGGCTGAATCAAGTCCTTTAAAAAAAAATCCTTACATTTGGAGCTTAGTTACTCTATCCCTGGAAATATATATATTTTTTATATTTATTTGACAGAGAGACACAGCAAGAAAGGGAACAAAAGCAGGGGGAGTGGGAGAGGGATGAAGCAGGCCTCCCACTGAGCAGGGAGCCCGATGTTGATCCCAGGACTCTGGGATCATGACCTGAGCCAAAGGCAGGCACCTAATGACTGAGCCACCCAGGCGCCCCTACTCCTGGAAATATTTTAATCTAAACCTGTTCACATCTAAGAAATTCTGGGTAAATTATCTTATTTTGTACCATTCCTTCATTTCCTTAAATTTCCTTGGGACCAAGGAGTTTACACTATTAAAAACTCACTGCTCTAGTCTCCAGAATAAAAGTAACTCATGGGCTGTTTGTGCAGTCCCTATGTCTCCTTTGGCCCTCATGGTGTCCTTAAATAAAAATCTGAACTACCACTTAAAAATCAAGAGCTATTGGGCCACCTGGGTGGCTCTGTTGGTTAAGCGTCTGCCTTTGGCTCAGGTCATGATCCTGGGGTCCTGGGATCAAGCCCCACATCAGGTTCCTAGCTCAGCAGGGAGCCAGCTTCTCCCTCTTCGTCTGCTCCTTCCCCCACCTCCCATTCATGCTCTCTCAAAATAAATATTTTTTTTAAAATCAAGAGCTATCACACACTAACAAAATAAATAAATAAAATATCTGGATTCTCTCAAAAAATCAGAAGAGCTGGCAAAATGGGGCCTGTGTTTCCTCACATCCGTTAGCTGGAACTGGGCACTGGATATTATCCTCTTTAGCTACTGTCACAACCAGGTTCATTTCTATTATTCTTTTAATAGGTACCTATAGTTTGCTAGTTTCTTTAGTATGCTTGCATATATCTTCATGGATGACACCAAAAAATAGCTTTCCTTTTTGGGTGTCCTAAGATTGTTCTAACATCAAGATTATATCTGAGTATGTTACGAGATGTCTAGGGGCACTTGGTGGTTAGGTGTCCAAGTCTACATTTCAGCTGAGGTCATGATCTCAGGGTTGTTAGATCGCGCCCCAAGTCAGGCTTGCACTGGGTGTGGAGCCTGTTTTAGATTCTTTCTCTCTCCCTCTGCCCATCTCCCCATCTCTCTCTCTCTAAAAAAAAAACCAGTTGATAATGTTTTGCCTGAAATTTGGTTTGGTGCTTCATTAGTAGTAATAGTTACTATATCACACTAAAGTTCCCCTTTTCTGTGTTTTTATAAATCTTCCAAGAGTTCTCTGAGACAATGCTGTAATTTTTATTTTCCTAAAAAATAATTTAGGTTTTCAAATGTATCAGAAAGAAGCATTGTATTTAACATTTTATTTATTTTTATTATTTATTTAAAAAATTTTAAAGATTTTATTCATTCATTTGAGAGACAGAGAGAGAGCAGTGGCGGGGGGAGAGCCAGAGGGAGAAGCAGATTCCCCGCTGAGCTGGGAGTCCAATGTGGGGCTCAATCCCAGGACCTAGCAATGCTTAACCATCTGAGCCACCCAGGTGCCCCTTTTATTTTTAGTTTTTTTTAAAGATTTTAAGTAACCTCTACACCCAACTTGGGGCTTGAACTCACAACCCTAAGACCAAGAGTTGCACGGTCCACTAAGCCAGCCAGGCACCCCTAATATAACATTTTAAATCAGTAACTCTAAGGTTTCTCTTTGTGTGTGTATTTATCCATTTTTCAAACATGATTGTTTGTCTTTTCATACTTTTCCATCAGTTTCACAATGGTTTGTCTATATTTTTATTTGTTTTTATGTTAGGTATTATATGATGTAGTAAAAAGGATGCCAGTCTGAGTGAAGTCCTTCGCACATGGTACACACATTACTTTCCCCACCAACACCTAGGATTATTTCATGTTCCATATGAAAGAAGTCACGATGGAAAATTTTCTGAATTCATTACCCTGAGTGGTGTCTTCTTTCAACTGTATGTCCTGCCTGATGTTCAGCAAGTTCTGCAGAAACTGTTGTTTTGCAACCAATAATACTAATGACAACAATGAATAAAATAATGACCAACATTCAGTGAGTATTTATTATATGACAGGCACAATTCTAAGCAGTTTATGTGTCTTAATTTATTTGATCCTCACACAAAATTTTGAGGTAGGTGTTATAATTATCCCCATTTTATAATTTCTACTGAGACAAATATGTATAAAAACATAGAAAAATGCTTAAGAAGGATAAATACTAAACAGATAATGACTATCCTTCAGAATGGGAAATGGGTACAAGGATGGTAGTCGTATGTTTGCCTTATTTGCAATGTTTAAATCTTTTAAAAGGAAAATGTGTTCATGCATTATTTCTGCAATTAAAATACATGATACAAAGATATGCCTAGGGAGAATTTTCATCAGGAAACTGTGAATAATGGCAAAAACTCTGGGAAACTACAATTTCTTTCAATAGGAATTTGATAAAATGATACCACACATCCTTATATTGCAACATAAGGAAACACCAGGAAGCAATGAAAGGATCTCTATTTACTGTGTTAAGTTTTTCATCACTGTTTTTACAAGAAGAAAGCCTAAGTTTCGTAAATAACAAAAAGAATAAGCCATCTTTGAATAAAGAGATCACTTCTTTCAAGTTTTAAAGGTGTTTTACAAACTGTGATGTCAAGAAATTGGACTTTATAAATTTAAGATGGGTTAAAATACTAAGGATATAGCACTATGACAAATTAGGGGGGAAATGAAAATTAGGATTATATTTCACATGAATTGTGAGGTTTAAAATAAGGTTAAAAAGATGTCAAAAGTGCTACGATTTTCAGTATTTGCTAGCTTGAATTATCTAATGTCAAAAGAAATATATGCTTTTATTAAAGGGCTTCCAAAATATATTCTACTCATAGGGTGTTTCTCCTACATGATTTTTCTCAAGTTGAATAAACTAGAATCAACAAAGAAGATGTTTTCACATTATTCTATTTAAAGGGATTATTATCAAGGTAAATTCTCTAATGTTGAATAGTTTTGAGCTGTAATTAAAAGCCTTCCTACAGATTTCATATATTCTATGGTTTATCACCAGTACAAATTTTGATGTTGAATAAGTTGTGAGCCATAATTAAAGGTCTTTCCACATTCCCTATATTCATAGGGTTTCTCACCACTATGAATTCTATGATGACTAATAAGTTGTGAACTCTGAGAGTAGGCTTTCCCACATATCTTACATTCATAGGGCTTCTCACCAGTATGAATTCTCTGATGTCGAGTAAGGTCTGAACCAGAACGAAAAGCCTTTTCACATTCCTTACATTCATAGGGTTTCTCACCTGTATGAATTCTCTGATGTTTAATAAGTTGTGAGCTCTGACTAAAGGCATTGCCACATTCTTTACATTCATAGGGTTTCTCCCCCGTATGAATTCTCTGATGTTGAGTAAAGTTTGAGCCACTACTAAAAGCCTTCCCACATTCTTTACATTCATAGGGCTTTTCACCAGTGTGAATTCTCTGATGTCGAGTGAAGTTTGAGCCACTACTAAAGGCCTTTCCACATTCCTTACATTCATAGGGTTTCTCACCAGTGTGAATTCTGTGATGTCGAGTAAGGTCTGAACCACAAATAAATGTTTTCCCACATTCCTTACATTCAAAGGGTTTCTTGCCAGTATGAATTTTCTGATGATGACTGAGTCTTGAGGGATGTCTAAAGGCCTTTCCACATTCCTTACATTCATAGGGTTTCTCAATGGTATGAATTATCTGATGTGTACTAAGTTGTGAGTCATGTCTAAAGGTTTTCCTATATTCCTTAGTTGCACAATATTTCTCTTTATTATTAATGATTTGCTGTAATGTAAAGGATGGATGCTGACTGAAAGTGGGCATGCCTTCATGGGTGAATATCAGTTGACTGAAGTGTCCCTCCTGAGAGCCATGTTGTTTCTCAAACTGGCCATTACATTCCCAATCATCTCTGAAACTAGAGCACTGAAGGTCATGTCTTGTAAGTCTTTCCATTATCTCCCACTGCGCTGACTCTATTTCATAAATTTCCTTCTTCAGAAATAATTTCTTGGTCTCACATCTTGATTCCAGGACTGAAAGAAAATATGAAAGTAATCACTCACATTTTTCTTGTTTGGGAGAAATAAAACTTCAATAAAAATGGAAGAATTAAACTGAACTTTAAAAAAATAGACAAGAAAAGAGCGAGGACAGATCATATATTAAGATGAGGGCAGTAATAAGCTATTGGTTTCCAAACATTGCTATGGATCAGAATTACTTAGGGGAACTTGCTGAACATAAAGATGACTTAAGTCTTATCTCCCTTGTTACAAAATGACTCTAATCATAAATACACATATAAAATCTCACAGCATATGCACACACAGCTATAAGAGCATCCCACAGATGAACTGTAAAATAAGGGAAATGATCATACCTACTTAAAAGAGTTATTATCAGGATTAAATGAATATGTCTAAGAAAAAATTCCCAGGCTTTGGCATACTTGACCTGCAGCACTGCAACAATTTTTATAAGTAAAGATTTATTGGAAGACAGTTACACTTACTTGTTTACATATTGTCTATGACTGCTTTTAAGCTACAATGGCAGAAGTGAGTAGTTGTAACAGAGAACACATTGACTGCAAACTTAAAAATATTTATTACCTGGCCCTTTAGGAAAATGTTGCCAGCCCCTGGTTAGATCTATGTTGTCCATTACAGTAGCCATGAGCATATGTGTGTATTTAAATTTAACATAATTAAAATTAAATAAAAATCAAATTTAATTCCTCAGTGGCACTATCCACATTTCCACTGGCCAATTGTGACTAATGACTACCATGTTGGAAATGACAAACTTAGGATATTTCCATCATCGCTGAAAGTTCTATTGGACAGCACTGGTCTAGATTCTGCAACTAGAGGCCCAGGGTCTCTTTAACAAATGATAAGGAAATAGAGGGTGGCAATCTAGATGGGAGAATGAATGAATCTAGTGTGAGTGGTAGATAGCGAGGGTTCTTTTGTGGCTAAATATGGAATATGTTTGGGGTTTGATGAAAATACTTTTTGGCTTGGAATTCTGTGATGCTGATCTTAGAAGAGAAAAGGACTTAACAAGTACATAAGCATTATGATAGCGATGACCAACTGACAGGAAGGGTATTTGTAGGTTTAAAGAGAAGGAAGAGAATGAATATAAAGGCAGTGTTCTGTGCTACTGGAAGTTCAGAGTTACCAGATTCAGTCATGAATTTTGAACTCACACTCAGGTTAATTACAAGCTTTGTTTTCTTGGCCAAAGTAGTTCCTTTTTCTGAGCCCTCAATTCTGTTTATATAATAGAAGTAATAACTTTTACAATCATTGTGAGGATTATAAATAATATATAAAAAGTATTTGGCATAAAATAAGTGTTAGTATTTGAGAGATAATACGAAAGAATCTCTATACAAAAATGGGGACATTAGGCAGTGAAGTGTTTTGAAGACCACACTATGGACCCAGTGGGAAAGCCTCAAACCAAAAAAGTGAAAATCATTCGAGTACCATCGTCTCTTTCTCTCATATAATTATTCAGCAAATACCTCCTAATCTTGCTCCTAAATATATCTTGAAACTCTTCTTCCTATCTTTAATAAAATATCTAATACATCTCTTGAACTATCAGGACAGCCTCTTTCTTTCCTAGTTTCCCCACTTGAGGTTTGCAATCTTAAATCCATCCCTTATATTTCTCTTACAATAAAAGCCAAACTGCTGAACATGGTCTACAAAGCTCTGAATGACCTAGTTGCTGCCTGCCTCTTCAAACAAATCTCAAGCTATGCTCCCTTTTGGTTGCTAGGCTGGCCCTATTTTGCAGTTCTTCAAATGATCCCAGTTTTTAGTCCCTTTCCAAATCTCTAAAGGTCATACTTTTTGAGGCCTTCCCTGACTCCATGACCAAATTATATCCTCCCTGTAATTACACTTTTAGCACTCTGTTCTCTTCCTTAACAGGATTTTCAGAATTTGTAATTACATATTTATTCAGGTTCACTTAATATCTTTTCCCTTGAATAGGTGTTAAGGTCCTTGTGTTTACTTCATTTTAAAAGTAAAATGTCTATTGTCTTCACCAATATGTATCCAATTCTAAGCACAGTATCTGATACATACTGGAAGATCAACAAATATTTATTAACTGACTCAATTAGCAAGTATTTGAATATATACTCCTTAATAAAAGATGTCTTTAAAAATTCCTCTAGAAAAAAAAGGATACACTCTTTTCAAACACCACACAGTGAATATATACATTTATTACTGTTCCTTCAAGAAGTCCCACTAAAGTGATAGTGATGAGATTAAACAAAAGAAGAAACTCCATTAAGGACAAAGAATAGGAGAGGGAAGAGCAACAATCAAATTTTGGAAGCTAGAGTAGAGGTAATGGTAATAAATAATGTGTCAACCATAAACACACTGAAACCTAGGTTGCAGATTGGTCTTACTGTACAATCTAGTTATTTCCAAGAACTGCAATCAACAGGTATCTTTGAAAGCTGGGTGCATGAGGGGCTGCAAAAAGGAAGATTAACTGAAAATCTGTAAGAAACAGACAGACCTCAGATTCTCAAATCTACCCCATACAGCAGGCTGATCCCCCAGCCTGATATCCTCAGTAAACTTTCAGAATCTGGCAGTCAAGCTCATTTTATTGATTCCTAGAAAGAAAGTAGAGGATTCCATTCTGGAGAAAACCAGCCCAATAGAGAAGACTCGATAAATTGTATCAGTCAATGAACTGTTCTAAGTAGATCACTCTACAGTACCTACCACCAATAAATTTACACATTCTCAGATGTAAATGAGCTCAGATCAACTTTTTACTACCATAGTTTTATATGAGCAGACAGCCTTGAGTCATTAACAATTTCAGGAAAATCTTAAACATGAGAGATTAAAATGAACAAGGGAAAAAACTCAGGAAAGAGAGACAGTGGAGAAAAATTTAAATATTCAGAAAAAGAATGCTTCTAAAAACATAACAATCTCATAAGAGAATAATGTCAGAAAAAATATTCAAAGAACAGTGAGAATTAGAACTTAATAAAATCTCACAGAAAGTACAAAAAATATGAAAAATGGAAAAAAAATTCTAGAGCTAAGACAAGAAATTCAAGATCTGAATTATGAGTGTTCAATCATTCAAAAAATTTAATGAGCCCATACTATGTGTCAGACATGGTGCCAGGCACTGGAAATAAAAAGTGAACATTCAAATTTGAAACAGAGAAGATAATGGGGAATAAATAATCAAGAAAATAATACAAGAAAATCTCAGAGATTTTGTTTCTAGAATGAAATGTCTCAGTGAGTGCCCAAATGAAAGAATAAAATCAACATCATGATACCTCAACTTGAAATATTAGAACATTATAAAGAATAAATTCTAAAAGTTTCCAAAGAGATTAAACAAATCACATAAAAGAATTAAGAACCTGAATGTGTTTTAGATTTCTCAATGACATTAGATGCTAAATTTTGTTTTATTTTTTACTTTTTTTAAAGATTTTATTTATTTATTTGACAGAGAGAGAGATAGCGAGAGCAGGAACACAAGCAGGGGGAGAGGGAGAAGCAGGCTTCCTGCCGAGCAGGGAGCCCGATGTGGGACTCGATCCCAGGACCCTGGGATCATGACCTGAGCTGAAGGCAGATGCTTAACGACTGAGCCACCCAGGCGCCCTAGATGCTAAATTTCAAAAATCCATGGAACAATGCCATCAAAATTTTGAAGTTAAGTTTTTCAACCTAAAATTACATCTCCAGTCAAATATCCATGAAAAATGAAGGTGAAATGAAAACATTTTCAGACATATAAGGGTTCATAAAATACACTATTTACTTTTCTTGAATACTTTCCTTGGTTTCTTTTGGGACATGTGCCTTAGAATAATGAAGGAATAAACCAAGAAAGAGGATGGCAAGAGATCCAAGAGTCAAAGTATATCAATGTATCCAAGGCATCCAAATATAGAAGCGATCAAAAGAAATTCAAAGGAGTATGGTGAAGGGAATCAATGGGATGATAATGAAGAGAAATTCTAAAATGATAGCTATGTAATAGTCTCAACTGGGACAGAACAGGTTAGAGGAGAAATGTCTCAAAAAATAAACCAGTTACCTGATGTGTCTGAAAAGAGATTAATGAGAGATACTGAGAAAACTGAGCAATTCTCAATTAAGACAAGGATTAATTGCATGGAAAAGAACAAGTCATATAGGAAGTGAAATGTGACTAGAGCTCAGCAATGAAAGACGTTTTACAAAGTCATTAAGTGAACTGAATAATTTAATTTAAAAATCATGCTACTTGGAAGATGAAGGTGTATGCTAAATCTTCAAATTCCACAGTGAAAAGTCAATTATCACTAAAACAAGAATTCATGAAAAAAATTCTCAGAGAAAGGATAAAAATGATGACAAAAAAGTAGTAAGAATCATGGGGAGGGAGAATTATATTTAAAAAATGAGTTCTGGATAATGCAATGATGCAGATCTAACAATGAAACAAATTTTCAGGGCTGAACAAAATGCTTAGTAATCACAGAGCTCCTTTCTGTGTTGAGCAGAACTTATGAAGAGTTTTAACTGGATATATCTTGGTAGAATTTCTGAAGTTCAAAGAAAAAGAGAACTTCACAGAAGTAAAAACCTGATGAATCAGGTTGTATCTTATTCATGCATTTTTGTTTGATGTTGCCCCCAAGAGTTCTCTAAAGTTTTGATTTAGTTATTAGCCTTGAGATATCAGATTTAATATGAAAATCTGGATTTCTGATTCCCTGAAAAACATTATCTGGAAGCACTGGGCCACCATTCTCATATGACAGCTGTCTTCTAGACTTAACAAGTGCTTACTCTTTTAAGATGGTATAAATTCTCTCTCATTAGCCAGTCTCCCCACTACTGCCTGGTCCCACAGGGACCCTCAGATGAGTCTGTTTACAGTATTGCTTTTCTTAATTTCACCTTCATTCCTGAAACATTTTTGCTGGATTTGGAATTCTGGGTTAACAGTTCTTTAGCACAATAAA